AGTGTCTCTAAACTTTCCTGATGCACTTTCCAGTTTCATTCTGTGCAGTGCAGCGCTGTAGCCTGTCGCTGTGAGGATCGAAATTGCGTATGTACTAATGCAGAAAGAGACTTGGACTACGGGTGGAAAACAAAGGAGTGAAACGAGTGATGATGATGCTAATGTGGATGAAACCGATTGCGTTGGCGGCTCTCGGTTGTGCAAGTGATTCCATTGCGTTGGAATGCAGCCTTGGAATTTTCCCCTCATTAGCGGATCTCCTGACCAAAAATGTCCAAATGCAGTAGATGTACACATATATACACACAAGTACGTATCGGTGGATATCTCTTGAGTAAATTGTTTTACAGTCTGTCCATGTTCCGCCGTACTACTACCAGAAAGAAAGATTTGAAACTGATTAATTGGATGCTTAATCCAAAGCCCAAATGACCCGAGTGCTAAATTTAGACTGCTTCGGACAGGACGCTGTTTGTTTTCTTGCCCACTTTTACTGGCATCTGTTATGAGTCACTAGGTTGTGTGTTTTTTTATGGGGGGGGGCAGGTATTTTTTTTCCCACTCAAACGTAACTCCAGATGCTGGACATTCGGGTCCCAAACATATGGAACGACTAGATGCATGCTGGGGCGTGGAAATTTGCCTGTCAGACAAAGCGTTGGGGGGTATTGTTTTTCCTAAGGAATAAAAACTTCAGGGCATATATGTGAAGGCAATTTTGTGGCTTAAGTATAAACACAACTTTGGTACACTATACATGTATGCTGAAGTATTGCATTTTTCAAAGTGGATTCTACCAGAATTTTTTAGAGTTAAAAATACGACCTCAGTAGTAATTTGTAATTATGATGTACACGATTGAAGCTTTAGCTCATACATGTACATGTAGTATGCTGTATGATTTTTTACATGCGCCGTTGAACAAAATTGCTGCCGACAAGTTGTCTGGCACCAAACAAATAAAAAGTCTGGAAAGAATGAGAGGACTCAGTTTCAGTCGTCAGGGTTGTTATTGTCATAATATCAATCTGATCCATTGAAACTTGAAAGCCCATCAAAATCAACCGGGGGGATTTGTGGGGACTGCATAGTACATGTACATACATCCATATGTACACATGGTCCTGGTAACTCCATGGTGGGATTGTGGAAGATATGCGCACTGCCGGTGCACATGTACATGTAGTATTGAGTACCGAAGTGAATACATGTTTTCCTCTGAGTTGCTCTTTAAAGGGAACCTCAACGGGTTTTGACTGCAGATGAAACGGTGTACATGCACTGGTACATGTGTACATCAGCACCACTTGTGGAACTTGATAGGCTGAATTAATCCCACTGTACACAAACAGCTTTAACTCAATATGTTTGACCTGCGGTCTGGGCATTCCAAGTCGGTGACTTGCTTGTACATGTACATGCCTGGAAATTATTATTTAGCGCCCCGAGCGGGAGAAAAAAATGACCCGGCTTGAGAGTGCGTCCAGTTGAAAACACAATAATGTGGGTCTTACATATACTGGTACCAGTACACGTATGTTGAGGTCAGTGGTGGACTAACAGGGTCAATAGAAATCTCCCTGACCATTTGGAAATGGCCGTTCCTTTCAGGATATGTCGAGAGCATCCTTAAACTTTTGTTAGCTCAAACATGGGAGAGATTTTTGATCGTTTCCCCTTAAGCCACGATCATGGCGCTTCACCGACCGAATCCTAAAATGATTCATCCTTCCTGATTTTCCATTTTTTGTTTGTTTTACAGACAAAGAAAGTTGGAGGAATCGATCTCAGGTCTTTCAGAAGAGGAGGTATGGGGAAGTTTGTGACTGTTTTTCTAAGCTGAGTATACATGTACCGTAAGATTTTTTGTATAGTATCAACTTTCGGTGCTTTGTCTTTTTCACTCGAAAAAGGGCAGTTATTAAATGTATCTCCACCAACACAGACTCGTGCGTGACAAATCAACCTGAGACCTTCAAATATTCAACTTCTGCTGGGAAAGAAATTCTGTCTAATTGTCACGGTTGTAGCCCGCCCAGTTTGTGAAGGCATTGAGCGCTGAAGTGCAGGGACTTCAAATGAGAAAGATGTGATTCCAGAAACACATGCGTTGTACATGTGCATGTGTACACGTATGTCTTTATCGAACCACCCACTGCTTTTATTCTACCACCTGACCACAGATCCCACCCTTAACACAGAATCAACCGGATCTACCGGTAATACCAAAGTCCTTGAGTCAGCATATGCTCTGTATTTCCAGGGAACAAGTTTATTGTGTTTGTGAACTTTACTGTTTGCCTTTCGATGCTGGGCCCTGGATACATTAATGGCATTTCAATGTGAATGGCGCCAAAGCCGATGGGGTTAATACCAAGTGCGACGGTAGCACTCTATTATGTTGTTGCCATAGCGATGACAAGACTAGAGAGCTACTGTTAAAATGTAATTTTCCCTGCATAGAAATGGCAGAGATTCTGGCAACTAGTAAACAAAGTGCTGAGTAATGTTTGTGTAACATTGTTAGATTATCTGATGTGCAGTTTTGATGCATGGTTGCCCCAGCAGATTCAAAGTGCAGTGATAAATGAAGTGTTTACAGGGTACGTGTAAGGAGGTTGGATGTCGTCCACCATCAGAGGGCGCTTTTTATGGTGGCAAGAACTACATGTACACTATGTACTCTGTGTGTTCGTAGAAGCGCTAAATGTCTAAGTGGACAGAACCAACCATCAGTCGGTGTTCCAGCAATCTTACCCACGGTGACTGTACACGATTTTTCCCCGTCAGCAACGATGATAGTTGCCGCAAACATCAAATTGGGAGGTTGTCGCTTCTCCCTTACATGCACTTTTCCCCCGTATCTCACTCCCCTGCAGCCTTACCATGGAGGCGTGTGGCCTAGTGGTTAGGGTTTGTAGCTTCTGATCATAGGGTCAGGGGGTTCGAATCCAGCTGGTGGCAGTACGTTGTGAGCTTGGGCAAGTCACTTTACCCCTGTGTGCCTCTCTCCACCCAGGAGCGCTGTAAATGGGAGATGTGGTTTGGGAGATGTTTAGCTGTTTGTACCTGTCATGGTAGCAACGGGCTAGTACTCTCCCGAGGAAGCCGAGATGGTTTCAGGGATGTTCAGTTTTTGTGAGCCCTATATGCAGAGATACTACTAAAAGCGCATTGAGGTTTCCGTCGGTTATTGAATGCGCTGTAATATAAGAAGAGGCATTATTGCTAATTTTACCCCCTGCTCCTAGATCCGAGATCACCACCCCTGCCAGGAAATTATCCCCCCCCCTTCTGATTGTGTGATGGAGGAAAAAAAAATCCAAGGTTGTTTACAAAATGGTATCGCTTCCACCGCAGGTGGAAGTCGGTCAAACCACCGAAATGGTGCTCACCGTCAATATGTTATTTGGTAAAAAAAATCAATACATGCATGACCTTGGATAAATTGCCATCGGCGAAAAAAAAAAAAAAAAAAATACAAAGAAATCAGAAGCACCGATACATATGCCGTGACAGCTGTTTCAGTGTTTTTTCTTTTCTATTGAACATTTTGTAAACTTTTTTTAAGCCAGTGAATTCTAAATTACACACATGTACATGTATTTATGTAAACCCCAAAATATGTATACAGATGCGTATGAAGGGTTCTTGATACTTGTAGTTGGGACTCTTCACAGTTGGTAGAGGTGGGTAATTCCAGAAATTAGGGGTCCTAAAGGCCTTTTCACACTGCAGAGCCAATCCCCGGGAAAAGGATTTTTTTACCCCACCAAAACCCCAGCAACCGTTCACACTAGACTCATTTGGTAACTCCCAGCGACACTATTTCAGGGAAACATCAGTTGCTTTTCCCCAGGAAAAACATTAAACCCCGGGTTTTTCTCCTTTAACCTAACTCCTGAGCAGGGGTAAATATTTCCCGGGGAAAGGCTTTTCTCCGGGAATTTCTTAGGTAGTGTGAACAGACCGACTGAAATTTCCCGGGAAAGCCCCTTATGCGTGACATTTTTGTCTCCCTGTTACATTTGACCTTTGTTATTTGACATTGACATTTGAATTGATTTCAAACTGTTTCTATTTGTTTGGCAGGTAATCTGCATTAATCCATCACTCTTGGAAATTAGAGAATGTGTTCGGAACTTACAAAATCACGTGTCAGATTTGACAGGGATACACTAAAAAAATGGACCCCTAATTTCTGGAATTGCCCATTTACAGTACATGTGCATGCACGAGACAAGTGAAATTTTTGTCAGTAAACTACATGTAACAGGTCTACTGCAACTCAGTTTTGACCATAATGGTGGTTTGGGCCCTCCTTCGATCCTTATCTGATACTCAAATTGTGGTATTTGTCAGCAAGGTCTTATGGCGGATTTATTTGTCATGCAAACTAGAGGAAATGAAGGTTACGATTGACGTCACAAATAAAACGTAACACACCACCAGTTGACGTGGGACGATTCACTCAGCTTTCATATTCGTGTGACACACGAAACTGGTCTTCACCCAGCTTGTCATGTAAATTTATGTCAAGAACTAGAAAAATTGAAGTTGAAACCGAAAGTATACATTCTCTGTATTGACACAGCTGATGTACGTGTCTGGGGGTTATGTTTGCGTTATAGAAAAGGGAGAAACGAAACCAGCATGCACTCAAGGAAACGGAGTTCCTTCGCCTCAAGAGGTCGCGGCTCGGGGTGGACGACTTTGACTCCATCAAGGTCATAGGTCGCGGGGCCTTCGGGGAGGTGCGGCTGGTCCAGAAGAAAGACACGGGTCACATTTACGCCATGAAGATTCTCAGGAAGGCCGACATGCACGAGAAGGAGCAGGTGAGGGGACTGGTGCAAGTCAAACGTCGTCCAGACTCCCTGGTTTTGGTGGTGCAAATCTTTGACTTCAGCTCGAGAGTTCATTTTCAAATGTTTACAGCTGGAGACCCTGATCTAGAGGGATCCCAAGACGACGCTTTTAGCGTCGATCTGCGCACTTCCGCGTTTGAAAACGAGGCTGTATGTATCAGCTTTAACTCTTAATACGATCAGACGATTGAAAGTAGGGAGTCCAGACACAAAATACATAAAGGTGTGTTAAATTGAGACTTTTCAAGCTGCAAATTTTTGTGGAAGGTCTTTCATGATGACTTGACACGTAAAATCAGAAGAAAAAATAACGGCAATTTACCGCAAACTAACGTACCTGCGATGGTCGCGTATCTGCATGTGCAGTGGGCGTGGTTGAAACTGAAGTGGCATCACACTTACGAACCGGATACTCCATGTACTGTGTGGACTCCGAGGGCACGCGCGACAAAGTTCAACACAGAGAGTCTGGGTTTCGATGCGAATATGCGCAGACGGAGCTAATGTGAAATCCCTCTATGCTTTGGTGGTGAAAACCATAGTGGTCTCACGTGCACATTTGTTACAGGTTGCACATGTGAGGGCAGAGAGGGACATACTGGTGGAGGCGGACAACCCCTGGGTGGTGAAGATGTACTACTCCTTCCAGGACCCCCACAACTTATACTTAATCATGGAGTTCCTGCCAGGAGGTGAGACCGTTAGTGAAGTTTTCTCACAAAAATACACAGGGAGTGGAGGCTTCGCCGTAGTGAATATCTGATGTCACAGCCAAAACACATGTAGCAAATTTAATTAAAGTTAAACACTAATATGTCAATCCAGGGAAAGTTAAATTAGTGGGTAATTCTTAACCAGTGGTTGAGTTTGGCTGGTAACCTTTATTTAAAAGATATTCCAGACACCAGGTAAAAATCGACCGGTGGTTAACCATTTGTTGCTGATCAAACTTCCCCTCGGCAGATGTTGCTGAGGATGCGTTCCGACATCAAGTTGTCATTTTTTGCTCACGTTTAGCTTCTGCATTTTGAAGTAGAAACCAGCCGTTAGTTGTAATGCTCGAAAACAAGAGAGCAACCAGTTGATGCAATTTTCAAACTTTTTCAGGCGACATGATGACGCTGCTCATGAACAAGGAGACCCTCTCGGAGGAGGCCACTCAGTTCTATGTGGCCGAGACTGTCCTAGCCATTCATTCCATCCACAAATTGGGCTTCATCCATCGCGATATCAAGCCTGATAATTTATTACTGGACCCCAAGGTAAGCAGGAACAGAAGAATGGTCATATCTTACAGATAGCCGCAAGGTTTGTGGGAAGTGATGTCTAGAAACTTTTGACCCCCAAGGTGAGCAGGAACTAAATAGTAATTTCTCCATATAACTGGCCACAAGGTATGTAGGAAGTTAATACTTGAATTTCATTACATGACCCCAAGATGAGTAGGAATGCAATATCATTGACCAAAAACCCAATCCTTCATTTTGCAATTTGTAGACACCCCTTTGCACAAGGTGTGAGGACCTTTTCTTTCTACTTTGCGGGTTTCTTGACAGGGTCACATCAAATTGTCCGATTTCGGTCTCTGCACGGGCCTGAAGAAGGCGCACCGAACGGACTTCTACCGAGACCTCTCCCGAGCCCACCCCAGGGACTTCTGTAAGTGGCAACCCACATCCTTTTTGAAAACCACGAATTGCAAACGACTCGGATAGCAGAGATGGGCATGTCTAAATCAGGGGGCTGTGGCTGGGAGTTATGCATGTGTCTGTGGGAAGTGGTTGCAGCCATTAGCCTATAGGTGTATGTGTAATTTCAGCCCTAGCCATAACATTTGGACGCAGCCTGTAAGTACTCTCTGTAATCGTATCACAGGAGCACGTTACAGTGCCCTTGTGTGTTTTGGAACTGACTTGGAAAATTTGGCAGCTGAGAGCGGATGTACTCGTCTTAGTTTCTGTTGATGTAATTGTCATATTTAATAGCAATTATTTGTGATTCTTGCTCAAACTGTCCATTGTAAAAAGCAGTCAAAATGTCTCATGAACTATGCGTTTGCTTGATCACTCTTTCTCACAGCGAGTGTCAAAGCCATGGATTCCAAAGACTCCAAACGTAAGATGGAGAGCTGGAAGAAAAACCGACGAGCATTGGTAAGTGCCGCAATGCTAGAGACAAATGGGGAGAAAATGTCGGGAGTGTACAACTTGAAGGGCATCAGAAATTTCAGTCGACGGGCTTCCGGGAATTCAACAAAACAACAAGTGTACATTACATATTCATTTTTGACATATAAGACTTGAAGGTTTTCATGGTGAAAGAAACTAGATTTATAGTAAAGATTGCGGTCACACCATGTATTTATCTCTTCTTTGAGTATGTGTGGTTCTGAGAAGAACCGGGGAATAACTCGACGTTTCGAACAGTGTACTCTGTCCGTCTTCAGGAGACTGCAGGATCGTCGAGTTATTCCCCGGTTCTTCTCAGAACCACACATACTCAAAGAAGAGTTAAATACATGGTGTTACCGCAATCTTTACTATAAATATTCATTTTTGCTTCGGTTGAGGTTTCTGAGCAAGTCTGTTTTTGTATTTGGCCCATAGGCGTACTCTACTGTGGGTACGCCGGACTACATCGCGCCAGAGGTCTTTGTGCAGACAGGCTATACCCACGTCTGCGATTGGTGGTCGCTAGGCGTCATCATGTACGAGATGCTGATTGGCTACCCGCCGTTCTGCTCGGAGACGCCGCAGGAGACCTACCGCAAGGTCATGACCTGGCGGGAGACCTTACAGTTTCCCGAGGAGGTGCCGATATCAGCTGAATCAAGGGATTTGATTCAGAGGTAAAGCTGAAGTTTTTGCTTGGGAAATAACGATCACCAAGGAAAATATTGCTCGCTGTGTCGTGTCAGAGCCATCTGTACAAGAAGAGTTGGTGCTTTAGGACGATGCGTTTTTTTGTTTCTGAAGTGGTAGGTTGGGCATGGGGTTGCTCTAATTGTTCAGAAACTTTCAAATAATGATGTCAAACCCCGAGAACTTATTGGGGGGGTGGAAAAATACATCCAGCAAGCCTGTCCAGGTTCATCGCGATAATAGCCACAAGGCAGGAAATTTGGTTCCAGATAATCTGCACCTTCAAAAACTCACCATCGTCCTTTTTTTCCCCTCTGCCTCTACTGTGACTGGAATAGGTACTGTTGCGACAGCGAGCACCGAATCGGCCGCAACGACGTGGAAGAGATCAAGGCCCATCCGTTCTTCAAGGGGGTGGACTGGGAGCACATCCGGGAGCGGCCGGCTGCCATCCCCATCTCCGTCAAGAGCTTCGACGACACGTCCAACTTTGATGAGTTCCCCGACATCGAGCTCAAGCCGAGTGAGTTGCCCTTTCCAGATGTCAGCATCACCGCCGCACTGCGCGGTCTTCACTGCTGTGAAGTCTTCTGTGGAGACTACGACCGTAGATTCAAAACTGTTCACAGCCTGATCTCCCAAGGCATTTTTATTGAAACCATCCTAAATTCTCCAAAAGGAAGGGTGTGAAAAACAAGTCTGGCCGTGGCTAATATTTCAATGCTGTGAAGAAACACAGTTGCGTGTCACATGGACTTACACAATGAATATTTTCTTTGCTCTTCTAACAGTTGCGCCCCCTCCCCAGGAAGGGGAGGAGAACTACAAGGACTGGGTCTTTATCAACTACACGTTCAAGCGCTTTGAGGGCCTGACGCAGAGGGGGGTGCCGCAGAGGATGCCAGCCCACGCGATCATGCGGCAGCTCAACCAGGACAAGGGGCCGTAGCTCAACCCGTCAGCGACTTTGGGGGGGGGGCATAAAGGCCGGTTCGTGCTTCAGGCGAATGCGAAAGCAAAGTGAATTTGACGTCAAAAAACTTTGTCAAATTTGCAGCGCAAATATCTGATCCAAAATCGCAATCGATCCAAAACTCTTCCCAAGTATGAACCAGTCTTAAGCCCAGATTGTTACCAGATTGTTCCATTGTGGAGTGTTTTATTAACTGCAGTGACTTAAGCAACGGAAAGATGCAATGTGTAGTTTTGGAGCCCCTCTTCGTGTACCGTCAGAAATCTGCCCCCGAGAGAATGTTAGCTAAGCTTAGGTTGCAGCAGGGATGCCTGTTTTTAGGGCAAAAAGGCTCATATCAGGCTTTAGCATTCAAAATATTGGGCTAATTTCAAACCATAACATGGTATCATAGGCTTCCCTGGCCTTAGCAAGGTCAATTCAGGGCTTCTCTGGTCTTACTTTTAGGTTCTGGTGAAGAACTTGACTCGCGTCCTGTAGGCAACATACCCAGAGCACTAATTAAAAAATTGTGAAATTACTCTTGAGAAAATTGCTCGGTATTTTGGCAGACAGAACTGTGGAAGAGTGCCCCAGGTCAGTACTTCACACCAGATGGTTGGCCAGGGTGCATGTTAAGTTCTAGAACATTCTGGAGCTACTTGCGTACTTTTTGTGTCATTAGGACATGTGGAGGAATGTTGGTGAAAAAATGTTGATAAGAAGTTCTGGAACAAGTTGAGATCAGTTCAGCACTTCACACTTTAATGACATTTAATGCTCTGGACAAGCACTGAAACAATTGGCCAACATGGAAGTGAAGTTCTAGAACATTATGTGCACTTTTCTTTGATACCAAGGGTTTGTTAATAACAAATTTTGCACACACCTGTTGAAACCTTTAAAGCTAGTATAGTCATATACATTGAATTCAATTACCTTGATCTAAATACCCTTCATGTCATACATGACCATTTAAATCCCCATATAATCATACATGGTTCCAAGCATAGAGGAAAACAATACTTTTGTTCAAGGAAATTGCTGATCATGTAGGTAGTTTGTATTTTTTTTTGTGTTGATTTCTCCAAGTCAGTTCCTTTATGTCCCTCCATTCCATGAATGGAACAATCCGTGGTTAACTTATTTATTTACTTAACGGAACAGCTCACTGCCCAAAGAGGAACTAGATTTGTAGTCTGCTTGTGTGTGCGTTGAAGAAATGTTTTAAACAAAAAGATATTTTACATATATAGAGCTATAAAAGCACTTTCCTTTTTTTGTGCGTAGATTGTAAATTTCTTAGTTTCAGAACCAAGGTTTGTTAACATTGAGAAAGAGTTTGGCTTGGACACGCCTACATTAGGGTCTTGAAAGTCATCAGCTAATATATGTAATTCTTGGTGTATTCATTGTAGTTTATGAACATTTTAAAAAGTTCACCGTTCTTAAAAATCAAACCACATTGCATATTCTAACCTCCCCTGTTTTGAATGAGGCCCTCTGAAGCATTTGTATATCTTGTGTGATGAGGGTACAGTTTCATGCTCTGACCACATACCAGCTTGTGGTTATCCATGTCGGCAAGCCACAAGTTCAGCTTCATGATCGCAGATTCGAATGAGTCAGTTGCACTGTGAATAGTGCAGGTCTCAAGGAGTGCTGAATGTTCAGGGCAAATGGTGTCGAAAGCATTTGGCTGTGACGCTTGTCATTCCTGGCACAGTTGTGCAGTGCACGTGTACGTGAGCGGATTGAAATCGGCGTTGTAGTCGAGACCATCACAAGACCCACACAAGACCCCAAGCCCGCATTCAAGTCTCAAGCTCTTCAAATAAACTCCAGTGAAAGCATTCCTTTGCCATTGTTCACCTTTTTGACTCGTGACTGGTCTTGTGAAAGATCTTGTGATGCTCATGACTGCAACATTGATTGTAAGGCAGTGCAGATCCCACTGACAGCAGTGTATAAAACTCTGCCTGGCCCAGTTTGGGTCTGTTAATGGGCTTAACCAGGTAATGATTTCTGCTTTCTGTCACCAAGCAGTCTCACTCCATGGTGGGAGGGGGGGAAGGGTTTGACAAGATCTGACAGGTGTGAGTCCGTGCAACTTTTCTCCAGTAGTAAACACAACTTGAGGTAACTTCTCTGCCTCGCCACTGCTGCTAGACTGGCCTCATTGCACGATGCACTCTTGTCAGTCACAGAGTAGGTGTGCACACATGCCAGTGGGCATTACTCGATTGAGAAGCCAGTCTACTTACTGAGTGCACTTACTTGTAACTGGTGCAGCTGCGGTTAGCACACAGGATGTGACTCAGTATTTCCCACTTCCCTCAAAACGGATGACTCACCTGCCCCAGAAGTGAATTTGTTGGCTTTGGAATGATTGATTGAATGGAACAAAAATTCCAATTAGTTATTACATGTTTGTAAGTGCTTCTTGGGGTTTGTAAATGGACTCTAGAAGTCAGTGCTTCAGTCTGAATCCTTACATCTGATTTGTGCAAACTCTCTATCCATTTTCGTAAGGAAAAAAAAAATGTGTGTTAAATTCCTCCAGTAAGCCTTCTCTTGTCCCACTTGTTCTAACCTTTAAGACAGAAAGTTGAGGAAAAGAATGTTTTAAGTTGATAAAACAAGCAGGTTTGTGCAGTGCTGAGCTCAGTGATGACTTTGACCTAGTTGAGAGAGGTCACGTTTGGTAGTTTGACCTGTGACCCTGGTCAGCTGAAGGTGACTTTTGACCTAGATTGGGGTGAGTCTGTATTTGGCCTTGAAGCCTGAATTTCACGAACTACTGTGATTTTTACTGTAATGTCAGTGGTTTTTTTTGTACATTTATGAACAGATCTTTGCAAGCAACTAACAGTTATTCAGATTGTTGGCATATTGGTCTGAATCTTTGGAGCTTATAAGGTCCTTCATGAAGAGTTACTCTTTAATTTGAAATTGCTGAGAAACACTTTACATGAAGACAATTTATGCTTGTTCAGCCATTCAGTTGAGAACATTTCATTGGACAGGGCTGAGATTTGTCAGGACTTTTCCTGATTTCAGGACTCTCCAAACAGTCTCTTGTAAAATCTGGAAAAACCCGCGTTTACCATGACTCTGTTTTTATGAACAACAATCCAAGAAATGGGTATTTGAAGCAGTGCCTCTCTGCCCGGAGCCGAAGTACACCCCCAATCGGTGAAAAGAAAGACAGGTGGTTACATACGGGTTTTGGTACGCGTTCTGCGTGTACGCAAAGACCATGCATGCTGGAGTAAATTAGTTACGTGTACTCAGCGTGCTCCATGTCAAATGCGCATAATTACATGTATATACTTGCGTGCCTCATGGCGCACCTCTTGGCGAGCCTATGTGGTGAGTACCAAAAAAAACCCACCCTCTTTTGTTCCGCTCGGAGCGGATAGGCAAACACAGATGTATGCCCCTTCTGAGGGACCTCAAACCCTCTGGTGATTATTTCCGGGATTTTTCAATTTCCTCTGAACTCAGCCCTGGTTGGATGGTCTGAGACGAGAAAAAGAGAAATATATGGTTACGTTGTTGTCATTTTAATAGGGAAATTTGGATCAGCAGTTTACATTTCTTGCCTCTGGAAATGACAAAAGTTACATAAATAGACCGGTGAAACACATTTACAAGTTTATTGTGTCCAATCTGGATAGATGAGGGCTTATAAATAGACTGATTCAACAAGTGTTCAAGTTTCTTATTTGAACCAGTTCTTTTGGACGTATGTGTAAAGTTTCAAGGCAAATTTTAGGTTGTGGGTATAACACGGCAGGGAACCAGCTGCAATGAATATGTATTATATATGGTAGTTTGGCTGGTTACCCGTGCGTTCGGAGTGCTGTGGACTTCTTCAGTTTTCAATAATGCTTTTCTTATGCATTGCTCATAGAGGCTTGAACTAAACCACATCGCCATGCAGAATAGCAACGGTGGCAGAACAATTTTTTTTGGGGGGGGGGCAGATGTGAAACCGTCAGGCATTAATAGACCAATCCATTAAGCCCTGCCCCTTTAAAGGACCTCGCAAAAGTAGGGGGCCACTGGTCCTTCCCCACTTCTGCCGCCGGTGCGGAATTTTCAATAACCTCTTCTCATAAATAAACTTCATGTTCCCAACTTCCCATACATGTATGAGCACACTTTTGGATTTCGGCTTTTTAACTAAATACTGGTTGAAGTTTTGCTTTGTGTTGTGTTTCTGTTTTGCTGAAGAATTGTTTTTGTTTTCCAAAGTTGAGTTTGCATTTGTTTCTGCTGCTTATTTATTTGCGACTGTGAATTGAAATTAACAATCAAAATGACTATGATTTTTATGAAATGTATAGGATTGTTTGAATAGAAGTAACAAAATAAAATATGTGAAATATTGTAAGAAAGTAACCCAAAATGCTTATGGACTCACTCATGCAAGGTGTAGAGCACATGTATTAAAACAAAAGAGTGACTCTTATATTATGCAGAATATGAAATGAATTAGTCTTGTCAGGTTATTGCAAGTGAGTTTAGTGTAGACTTGATTCAAGTCTGTGCTTGGCTAGTGAAAAGCCGTACTGCTTGCCACTTTTGCAGTGGGATGCTACCATTTTATCGTGCATCTGTGGGCCCCCATTAGGACCCAGAGGGGGGCACGACTTTCCTAGTAACGGAGGCTTCTTTGGTAGGAACTCTACCTCAAGTGAAAATTCAGGGTACTGTCTTTCAGATGTTTTTTTGCATTGGCTGGCAATGATCATACTGTCGTGTTTTTAACTGTACTTTAGTGGATTACGCAAAGTTACACATGTAGAGGTAAATGCCACAAAATGCTGACCACACTGAAGGTACATCTCTCCTGGGGACGTGTAAGCGTGACATAGGCAGCGGCGGTGCCACTGTGGCACGCACCATACCGTTGGGGTGACAGTCACCCGTCATTCACGCGCATGCTCTGTTTACAGGTATTACAAGCACTCATTGGCTTAAAGTAAGACGCAAACTTGAGCAAGTTGATGATTGCATGCACAGCGCATACGAGCTGACACCACACACCTGGCCAGAGCTGCTCTAGAGCATGCGACATCAAAGATCTTTGGCGATATGCAGCTAGCTAGCTAGCTGGCTTCCTCCGATACTAGCCAAGTTCAGCTGGACACGGACCAGTCACACTAATCCAGTCCCATCGAGGTTTCCTGTTGGCAGCAGAGGTAAGCTGGCCAATAGGAAAATGAGCCAAACACCTTTTTAAAGCGTATTTGCTCTCTCTTTGAAAACCTTTCAATCGATCAATATTTCCAAAAGTTTCAGTTTTCAAAGCCAGCAGAGTTCATTCGAGAAATCTACGACGCAGAAGAAAACCTCGACGGCGGGCCCCCTTTGTTGACTGTCCTCCTTTGTTGACTGTCCTCCTTTGTTGACTGTCCTCCTTTGTCGACTGTCCTCCTTTGTCGACTGTCCTCCTTTGTCGACTGTCCTCCTTTGTCGACTGTCCTCC